CTCTCTCTCTCTCTCCCTTCCTTCCTTCCTTCCTTCCTTCCTTCCTTTCTTTCTTCTTCTTCTTCTTTCTTTCTTTCTTTTTTCCTGAATGATTTTAAACTCTCATTGTGTTTTTTGACAGAGTAACATAATTGCTTTTATTAACTCCTTCCATGATAAAGAGAGCCTAACATAGCATATGTATTGTCATTTTTTTTCTTACAAACACGTAACATTATAAATTCAGAACAATTTCATATACTTATTGCAAAGCATAAAGAACTTTTAACAGGAGAGCTTTATGAAATATTTTCAAGAAATATTTCAGGATCATATTTTATTAAGCAACCATGGGATTATTTTATGGTATGTTCTATGAAAGTACTTCCATGTATGCAATTTATTTCTCTCCATATTTAATTGCTTAAAAATAACACCATAGTTTAAAATGTTTCTTTATGTGCCTAGCTTTTGCTTATAAGAGAAATGTTAAGTTCTTATTTCTTTGAATTAAAAATTGTATACATAGATGTGGCTTTCAATATTCAGACCATACTTACCCTCACATGGGAGAAAACATCAAACTAAATGTTGACAATAGATAGTGCAATTCTAACACTTATCTGTGACAACAAGCAGTGAAAGACTTCCAATGCTTTCAAAGTATTAATTGATTCCTATTGAGCAACAAAATTACTTTACAATTGAGTAGTGTGGTTTAATATAGGTACTAACAAACAACATTGGTTTTCTCTAGTTATTTTCAATTAGTAATCAATGTTATGTATCTATTTCTGGATTTCCCTTTATGTATCAATTGTATATACATTATATCAGTGCCTAACATGTGTAAGACCTAAATGATTGCTGACTGTGTCTACTGAATGCCAGTATGCTCAAAAAGAACAATTCAGTCACTCACCTGGATATTGCTTTTTATGTGATTCAAAGATCTGAGTACTGAAAATGTGAAAATGTGAGGTGGCTGAATATTTTTCTTTTATTATTCTTTAAGTGGATAATTAATACCACAGTGTTGTTCCAGACACAAGTTTGTTTCATAAAATATACTGGATTCTAAAATCCAAGGAAGTTATATATGAAGGAGGCATTAATGTTTTAGACTGACATTGTGACTTGCTGAGTAGAAACAATGTCTTTGAAACCTGATATAATTTAATCTTTTCATTTTCTAGCTCAGGTACTGTAACTAGCACTAAATGCTACTGAGACTGGACAAATTATTGATACTAAAGAGTTGTTAATGGTCAACCTAGACAATAATGGAAACATGTAATTGATTACGAGGAATATTTTCTAAATCATGTGTATAGCCTTAAAATTCTTGAGAGTATAAGTTCATCTGAATTATCTCTTATAGTATTAATGGTCAAGTGATGAAGAATAAAAGGTACTGAAAAATGGCCTATTTTATTCAATAAAGATTTAATACTAATACTATATGTATTTTATCCTATATAAGCAAACTAGTAACTGTTAACTGAAAGAAATACTTTTTTGGATTGCTAAATGTTGGATTGATAAATGTCATCGAATCTGCTCTACATACAACAGATAGTAACCAAGCCTAATCCTATACCACCCTCACAATTTGAGCTTAAGGCCATTATTTTAATCTTCTTATTAGTTCATCTTGTTTTGAGTCTTCCTCTTTTCTGATCTTTCACATTTCTAAGCATTATGCCCATTCTGACATGTCCAACATGTGTGAGATAAAATCTCTCTAACTGCATTTATTTTAGAAATGCATAGTATATGCAATACACTGCCAACAGCTATTCAAAGGTACCTTTTTTAGCAACTACTTATCTGTTGTTCAACTTTCACATGCATAGGAAGCAAATGAAAATACCATGGATTGATTCAGGTATAAGAAGTTGACAAACTGACAAACTGACCTTCTTACTCTGCAGCTCTTATAGAAGTATGTGAAAAAGAGTTACTTTAAGTAACTTCCTTAGAAATTTGGGAGTACGAATAAAATTTGGTCCAGCAATCCCACTACTAGATTCATATGCTTAAGAAGTAAGAACTGTACCATAGACATACACACTCATGTTTATTGCAGTATTATGGAATGTTATGCATCATTAAAAATTATCAAGAATTAATAAAATCCTGCATCGTATGGATAAAATTAGAACAAATAATGCTAAATGAAATACCTCAGTCAAAAAGTATGATTGTGGCATAAAATCATACGTGTGTGTGTATATGTATATATTTATGTATGTGTGCGTGTGTGTGTGTGTATATATATATATATATATATATATATATATATATTATATAGTTCATTCAGAAAGAACCAGTCTTGGATAAATAAAAGAGAAGGAGAGAGAGACAATAAAAACCAAAATTTAAAAAAAGAGGTACTTGAGAGCAGATTTGCAATATACTTTTTGATTTCTTGTATGCTGCTTCCATAGCTGTTGATAATGGATTCAAGTGAAAAGAAACCCTTCACAGCTTCATTCTTTTTCCAAGTATTATAATGCTGTCTATTGGTCCTAGTGGCAAAAAGCTGCATGCAGTTGGAGGCTACCAGCTGCTCCGCAGAAGGATGGGCAATCTCTTCCAGAACAATTACTAACTCAGGAAACCTGCCAGAGGGGTCAGCTATGGGTCGGCCTGGCTCTATGGTACACAACAACAACAACAACATTGGTCAGGTTCCGAGGATACCCTCCCTTGATGTTGTAGTATAACCCATACTGGTGACTGTGCCCTTTGATCTTCTTCAGTATTTCAAGTCA